CGCCACTCCACACATGGTAACACCAGCCTCTAGCAAGGACGAGTGTGTCCATTATCTCCTATGTGCTGGGCATCAGAGGTCTTGTGGCAGCTGTGCTCCAGACTAGTGCACTCTTATTGTTAAGGATCCTGGCTAAGACAGGCTGGACCTTTAAAGATCCCATTTGACTGTCAGGCCTTGAGACAGGCGCAGCCCCACCCGATGTGGGTGCAGGGTGCCTGTCGCTGCTGCATTTTAATGTCGCATCTTTTTCGGCTGCATCTTAGCCGGCTGTCCCTTTCCCGGGGAGGGCTGCTCCACTCACCAGAACAGGTGACTGTAACTTCACTGGGATCTGCCTCAGCTTCAGGAATCCAGAGGCTTCAGCAAGAAGATAAAGCGCCTTGAGGAGTCGAATAGGAAGTTGGCCCTGGAGTTGGAGCACGAGCGAGGGAAGCTCACTGGCCTCGGACAGTCCAACGCGGCTTTGCGGGAGCACAACAGCGTGTTGGAGACAGCATTAGCCAAGAGGGAGGCCGACCTCATGGAGCTGAACCTTCAGGTACTCAGACTCATGCCCCGTATGGGAAAAGCCAAGTAGCACTCACCTTACTCTATTGTCTGTGTGGTTATCACAGCTCTGGCAGGGAAAACATGCACACAGGCTCAGGGTCGGCCTGTAGCTGAGTGCCAAGAGAGCTCGGGGTGGACGACTCCTGCTGGGCCAGATGGGCCCTCCCCAGCTCAGGGCAGTTTCCCTGTGTGGAAGGGCCTAACCCCAGTGGGGGGTCTCAGTCCAGACCCTGTTCTCAGCTCAGGCTCCACAGCCTCTGGTGCCTGGGGAAAGCTGAGCATTTCGGGGAAGTCCTTCTGTGGCCATCAGAGAGCTTACAGACTTTTTGGCTCTGGTCCCCCCACCGGTACCTGTTGTATTTATAACCCTGACTTACGTGCATCTTCGTGGCCTTGTGCTTGAGCATGATCATATAATCATGTTCCTGAGACTTCAGTTGTGTGTTTGTGACCGTGTCTCCCGAAATGGAGTCTTCGTATTTCCTGTCTCCTATACCTGGTGCTAACATGTCATGAGGCCTGTGCCACCGGCTACTGGGCCTCCTGTGTGCCACTAACCACAGTGGCCCATGCTTTTTCCAGTGTCTTCAGGCTATGGCATTGGGTGTCCTCCCTGAGTGGTCCCCTCTGCTGTCCTGCAGGTTCAGGCCATCATGCAGCGCAAGCAGGAGGAGGACCGCCAGATGAGGCAGCTTGTGCAGACCTTACAAGTGGCCCTGGAGAGAGAGAAGCTGGAAGTGCACAGCCTCAGGGAACAGGTATGTGGCAGGCACCTGACCATATCCATAGTGCAGCTGTGTGCAGCCTTTGCAGGGCACATTTTCAGCATATGAAACTGGACATGAGCACCTTGATATAGCCTTTCTCTCCAGGGTGTCATCAGCGTGTGGGTGATGGTGAGGGCTGGAGAGCCCTAGTGCCCATCAGGACCAATCAGGGCAAAGAGGATACTGCTCCTGCCTTGGCCCCCGCTGAAGCTGGTGCCCATCTTCCAGGTGGCTGCAGCCAAAGCAGAAGCAGGACACAACCACCGCCACTTCAAGGCCGCCTCCTTGGAGCTGAGCGAGGTGAAGAAGGACCTGCAGGCCAAGGAGCTCCTGGTGCAAACGCTGCAGGCAGCAGCCGAGCATCTCCAGTGAGTGTCCACGGGCAGAGGGCTAGCCGCCAAAGGGTCCCACCAGGGCTCTCCCCCATGTCCAGCTAACACACTGAGCACTCTGAGGTCACTATGTGAGTAGGTCTGGGAAGGAGAAGATGTCTGACCCTGTCTCATGAAGCTTACACTTAACCCTGTGTTTCAGTCCTGATGCTGCAGTCCCCTCTGCGCCCTCCCAGCAGTGTAACTGCGAGTCCGTAGTGTGAGGGATGGGCCCTGAGGACTGTGCCCACCTCCGAGGCTCACTGTTGGCTCCAGTGAGGGCAGCCACGAGCCGCATGTGTATAGAGATGCGCATTGGTCCCTGTGACACTGTCCCTCCCACCGCAATCCCGTGGTGGGGGGTGAGGCTCAGTCGAGACAGTGCATGGAACCTCCTAGACAGTTCCTGCCCAGAGTGAGCAGTATGTGAGTCCCACCCAGGACTGGTCACTCTGAGCTGACACCATTTGGGCAGGGGTGTCAGGTTGGAAGAACGCTGTCATTGCATCTGCTTGCTTTCTCTGCCAGGCTTCAGGAGGGGAGACAAGCCCAGGAAGTAGCACAGTTCCAGGCAGAGCTTGAGGAGGCACGCACCCAGCTGCAGCTCCTGCAGAAGCAGCTGGACGAGCAGCTGAGCAAACAACCCATGGGAAACCAAGAGGTGATGTTCGTGGTGGCTTTGCATCTCAGCCAACAGGACCGCCAGGGCTGGGCTCTGCTGCTTGGCACACTGAGCCCCTTCATTCCCTGTCTGCTTGCACAGAGACAGTTATTCTGTGGGACATCAAACGAGATACAGATAGAGCGCTTTCTGTGCAGGCAGGCCACTGTGAAATTCTTTTGCTCATGTGACTTTTCCCTCGTGTAGATGGAAAACCTCAAGTGGGAGGTGGATCAGAAGGAGCGAGAAATCCAGTCCCTGAAGCAACAGCTGGATCTGAATGAGCAGCAGAGCAGGCGGGAGCTGGATGGGGCTGAGCGGTCTCTGCAGGTACTGGGCGCACGGCCTAGGGATGTTGGGCAGATTTCACCTTAGGCAGTTGTGACTCAAACCATTACTGCGCCCTCCGTGTCAGTGGTAACAGCGAACTGTGGAGCTGTGTTACCCCGTTTCACAAGGATGTCTGGGTCACACATCTGACAGAGGCTGAGGACACCAGATCCTGGTGCCACATCTGGGCCAAGCCAACATCTAGCTGTGATTGTCACAGCACGTGTGAAAGGCCACCAGTCGGCACACAGCTACACACAGGCATCTGGGGGAATCCTGACTGCTGAGGGAGGGTCAGGAGCATGACTTACACCTGGTGGCTTGACTAACAGCTAGAATGGACTTTCTTCTTTCCTCAGTAGCTGAGCCTAGGAGTCACACATGGGATTCCTGGGGCCCGTTGTCAGTGTGGTCAGGGCAGCGACACTGGCTCCTAACAGAGGCCCTGGCACTGGAGTAAGAACATGGGGGACATGAGTGTAACTGCGAGTGTCACAGTCTCTACTGCTGGGAAGAACCAGAGCCAGGAAGGGGCCTCCTACAAGAATCAGTGCCTTACTGCCCCCCCTTAGACTCACGACAAGGACACTGAGACCTTTACAGTGCATTTGAGATCTTTTAGCTTTGAAAACTCTCTGGCTTGACTTCCCTTAGAACATCAAGTCTGAGCTGGAGCTGGTACGGGAAGACCTGTCTGTGACCCAGAAAGACAAGTTTGTGCTTCAAGCTAAAGTGTCAGAGCTGAAGAACAACATGAAGACCCTGCTGCAGCAGAACCAGCAGCTCAAGCTGGACCTTCGACGTGGCGCGGCCAAGATGGTGAGCGCTAAGGATTGGGGTCTAAGGCCTGTGGGCAGGGTGGGCGGGTTCTCAGACACACAGTTGTATGTGACCCACATTCAGCACCCACTGTGTGAAAATATGTGCTAGAAAATTCTGCTCAGACAACAGGCCACCATTTTATTTTGGTGCTTTTTCCAATAGATTGTTTGCTGCTTTTCATGAGTCCAGGTACCATTTTGTTGACTGGGCTTTATGAACCCAGTGAGGCCCTTGTACGCTGTTAACAAGATCCTGGCCACTCAGCGAGCCCGGCTGGGCCGCAGCTCAGGCCCAGGGACCCGGAACCCCGAGGTCACCGGCCTCTCCAATTGCATGCTGGCGTGTGTCTCCCCTCAGTGTTTCTCCATGTTTTCCCAGTCAGGGAAGTAGCTCATATTCAGACCTTTATTACCGTTGTTTGTCTATCTGTGCAAAAAACTTGCAGTGTTAAAAGGGAAGTTGTCTGAGTTGAAAAATTGACTTAATTCCTTAGGGAAAGTAAGAGTCAGGTTAGTGGTCTTTCGTGGAACGTTTTGCATGGGATTTCGCATTGAAGGCTCAGCTCCATCCTGAGGCCAGGACTGTGGTTCTGTTCTGTGCAGGAGGAAGGGTTTCTGTTAGGCCAGCGTTTCTTGAACCCCTGTGGCTGCAAGCTTAGTGGGTGCAGATAAGCAGATGTGCCTTCCAGGGTGTGTGGAGCTGGGAGGCAGGTCTGGAAGCACCTGTGATGGCAGAGAGCTAACCCAATACTTTGTGAACAGAGAAAGGAGCAGAGAGGTGAGGCCAGCCCTTCCAGCCCCCTGACGCCGGTGAAGGTCCCGGACTGCCCCGTCCCAGCCTCACTGCTGGAGGAGCTGCTGAGGCCCCCACCCGCCGTGAGCAAGGAGCCCCTGAGGAACCTCAACAGCTGTCTCCAGCAACTGAAGTACGGCAGGCTCTGTTTATGTCGCTTAGTCTCTGAGTCATGTGTGTAACCTGCAATGTCTCTGTTGCAGCACTGAATGCCCACCAGGGCTGAGCAGGTCTCTGTTAAGTGGGGTCACATTGTAAGGTGAGTGTTGCCTGCAGCTAAATGACCCTGAGAAACCCTAAGTCACCAGGACCTGAGCCCTTAAACCTGTCAGCACAAGGCCTTTTGGAGGGCCTGGCCATGTTGGGACATCTTTTTTGACCATGTGAGTCCCCCGACTCTGTCTTCCTTACATTGTGCCTGAGTAGAAGCCCCTGTGTGTGGAGGCTCACGGCCTATTGGCCTCTGCCCAGTGCTGAGAACAGTGTCGGTATTGCTGGTGCAAATAGAGATGTTCCTTTGGTCCATGAAGGTGCCACTGATGTGTGAGCGGACGGCCATCCAGTTGAAACGTGTTAAGCTCCACGTCCATCTTGGGGAAGTGATGGCATCTGTCCTGGCTCCCCTCTGACTGGCCTTCCTACCTTTGCCCCTTGTGTTGCAGGCAGGAGATGGACAGCCTGCAGCGCCAGATGGAGGCCCACACCGTCACTGTGCATGAGTCGCTGTCCTCATGGACCCAGGGGGACCCTGCCGCCAACCCTGCTTCCTTGGGCGAGCATGCCAACCCCGCAGGAGACACAGAGCCACCTGGTCCCAGCAGCCCATCCAGAGAGGGGCTGGGAGCAGCTGCCGCTGAGCAACCCCACGCCCAGTGTGTATAACTGCCCAGACTTCCCCTCACCAGGTTACGTTTCTGCTTCCCTCAGTGATGGAATTTACGTTCTGCATTTGTCTTTACAAGGAGTAAAATAACGGGAGGGAGCCACCTGCTGATCACAACCAGCTCCCCACAGTGACCAAATCCTAAACTCCTAGTTGAGTCTCAGTGATAGTGTTGGAAGGTGTCTGGGGTGATTTGCAGGAGGCGAAACCTCACCAGTGACGTGGACACTGCTCTGCAGCCACCAGTCCTGGGGAACCTGGTCGCAAGTCCACGTCCTCACTTCCCTGTGGGGCCCACAGGGGAGGCTTTACCTCCCCACAGAAGTGAGACTTTATTGCACCTTTGGTTTTTATTTTATTTTCATAGCCATCGCACCATAGGACGTGTAAATACTGAGAATCATAACCTAACCTTTAAAAAGTATGTTCTCATATTATTTAAAAATGACCTGAATTGTCTGCTTTTTGATTGCCTTTTGAAAATCTGCTATCAGGAAATAATGTACATGTAGGATTAAGGGATGTCAGTCAGAAAATTATATTTTAAGAAATATAATTATTTTATTTACCTTCTAAAACCAAATACTCTTAGAGCATTCTTTCTCGGTTTTGTTCCACTTTACTTTTGAGGGACTTTTTCTTGTCTAAGTGCACGATGCCCAGCTATACAACCCACCCTGCTTGGCCTCACCTGGACCACCCCCAGGCAACACAGCTTGTCCAGGCCAAACCTTCTGTGCCCCGAGCAGTGGTGTCCACCAGGCCCTGTGGTCATCGGAGACATGCTGGGCTCCGTGGTGACAGCCGTCAGGAGATCCGAGGCCCTGTAACGACCAGGCACCATGAGTGCTTGAGGTTTACCTGTACAAATGTCCCATCTAAAGTACTTACACCCAGCAGACACTGACAGACTGTGGGACTTGAAGGCTGCAAGTTTGTCTCCGAGTTTGTTAAGAAAACCTAAAATAATATTTATTGTAATAAGTTAGAGAACAGCGAGGTGGGTGCATGTGTGCCCTGTGTGGCTCTGCTGCTCTGAGGGTGCGGTGACATATCTGGATCTAGCATCACGGTAGCCCGTGTGCTGAGACTTGAGTCTTGTTTGTGGAGGAAATAATATTTTTAAGCTGTCTTTGTTCTCGTATAATATGCTTTCAGAAGGTTCATTGATGAAGTAGTGTTGACCACAAAGATGCTTAGTGTTTCAGAAAGGTTCTCTACAATTGGGACATCTACATACGTGTCTCGTTTGTACAGGGTCACTCTTGAAACAAAACTTGAAAACTCATTATAAATGTGTCCTACTTTTCAAAATAAGTTGGAAATCATTTTTGACAAAATTGTTTTTGTACCATTGGAAGAGAAAGTTGATCATTTATGTTTACTTTGGCTGCAGTGTGCAGGTTTTAATTTCAAAACCAAGAAACGGCACTCAGCCCCTTGCCTCAGTGGCTCTCAGACTCCCTGTGGAAGACCTGCCACTCTTTACTGTGTCCTTTCTCTTAGGAAAAACTACTTGAGTGCACCCATCAAGGGGAAGCCGGTCTGTCGGCACCCCCTCCCTGTGTCTGCCCACCCTGTGTGCGTGAATGTACACACGTGTTCTCTGGCTTCCTGTCATCGCCCCGTGCCACCTTCATCCTTGGTTCCCATCCTTCAGCTCAGCCAGCGCCCAACTGGCTTTGGTCTGGGCTTTGGGTGCTCATGTGGTGTTTTCTGTGGCTCTTGCTTTCTAATCCCCACGGGACTTACTGTCACTGCTACCTCCTAGTGTGGGAAACATTCTTCTGTTCTGGGCAGAAGTGGGAATTGGGTCTTGCCTCATGAAAAACAGCGGTCAGGTCTGGAGCACGTAGGACACCAGGTTCTCTGCAGCAGTGTTTGTGTACCTTCCATCCTGTGTGATGAAGACTCTGTTGTGTCCTCACCAGAGAATGTTAGCTTGGGTACCTTTGATGTACTTGTCTGATGTTTCAAAAAACTTACTGCAGTGTCATTGTCACTGATTTCTCCACAGTACACATCAGGTAGACGCCACAGATCTGATTAGTTGTTCTACGGGGGGGAGGGGGCAAAAGCAGGTTTACAGTTGTTTGTATAGGAAAATACAATAAATATTAATACAAGAATTTTGTGTACTCACAACTGTAAACCTACTTTTGCCCACTCCATTTGGAGGGAGGAGGCGTTTTAGGGTAGGGTGTAAAGCAGGCTCTTGTCCCAGGGCCCAGGGAGCAGTGCCCACTGGGAAGTCAGCCTGTGGCCAGGGCGTTAGGAAGTCTCACTAAGCTTCTTGCAACTTGGACCTTTCTTGGTCTAGGGTTACTGCCACCGTGACACACGTTTCTACTGCATATCTTTCTTAAAAATTCAATGTGTGTGATGTGTAAAGATTAATGGCAGTGAGAGGGACCAGTGTGTCTAGAGAGAAACGCCCCTTTCTCAGGGACCCCACCCCCCGACATGGACAACGCTGTGACGTGCGACATGAGCCTTACTCACACAATGGCCACATCCCAGGCAAATCCCGCGTGGTGGTCTTGGGTTTTAACAGGGTCCTCGGGGTATGTTTTAGAGGGTCTAGAAAACTCGGTGGTTTATTCATTTCTATTAAAAATTTCCTCATAAAAGGGAGTCCTCAGGTTGGTGCCGTTCAGGGGAAGGGTGTCACCATGCACAAGTTGTAACTTTAAAAAGCATGTTGATTTTTTACAAATTTAAGCGTGCTTGGGAATTCCTTAAATTTTGTGCAATAAACTATTTTTTGTTAAAGATTTTCATATTTCATTGGGAAGTGGGGTTCACATATTGGGAGTGACTTTTATCTTATGTTGTTACTCTGTTCAGATACTTGTATTAAAAGAATTTTACTGTTTTACCAGTTTCAGACAGGTTATGAAATGCAGCTTCTTGTGGTGGCTCGACCACAGCAGCACAGCAGTGACTTACCCATATTGTTTCCTCTGTCCCCACGCACCTGCTGCCACATGCAAGTCACTATCAGGAGGGGAGTTTACAGGAAGGGGGGATGCTACGAGTGAGAGAGAGGAAAGGGTGGCAGCCACTTTGAGCTGCGGAGGGTCCACATGTGCGTCCTGTACTGGGGTGTTGGTCAGCCCCTGGCCCTGCCGATGCTCATTCTGACAACAGTGGGACCATAACACTTTTTTTACATTGGTTTTTAGAGAGAGAAACATCGATTGGTTGCCTCCTGCACACGCCCTGACGGGAGAGAACCTGCCACCTTGAGTGCAGGGTGACATTGCAACCAACTGAGCCACACCTGCCGGGGCTGTGTCTCAGTTTTGAGGCTCCCTGGTTTCACCTCTTTTGTACTTTATTCTTCACCAAGAACGATCCTGATCCAGACACAGCATCTTCAGTGAAATGTGCAGATGAGAACTAGCGATCAGACTGTGATTTTTGGGTGGGAGGCCCTGGTCTTTTCCTGTGACTGTTACTAACCCTTTGCAAACCCAGCCACCTTTCTTGATGTCTGCTCTGGCCACTGGCTGCCTTAGACGCTCACACCTGCCCTATTCTACAGCATAATCTTTCCCCATCACGCTTTTCACACCTTGATGAGTTCCCTGTCTTCTTAATCTAAATTGTGCTGATGGGTAAAACGAAGGTGCTGTTCTGAGAAACACGCACTCCCCTCGGACCCTGGGAACCTGAGCTCCCTGCTGCTCGCAGACGGGAGTCGGTGAAGCCTAAAAGCTGCCACAAGACAACAGACTCAGTGCGGCAGCCATAGGGGAAGGTCTGTCCCAACCGGATTACACCAAAGTGTATTTTCAGGACGAGTTTCTTACTTCTCCCACCTTTTGCAGTAAATCAGTTTCCTGCTTTCTGAAAACAGAAAAAACCACCCCCACACGAAAGAAAACCACAGGCCCGGGCTGGCGTGGCTCATGCTGACTCCGATACCATGCCTGCCGGCCAGGCCGGGCCCAGTGCCGGCTCCGCCCCCGAGC